TGAGAAGAGTCCCCAAAAAAACTCTTGGGAGAGGCCAGGCTCATTTATCACCTCCCTAAGGGTTGAACTCTCCTCATCTGAGGAACAGGAAATTCTAATCAGTGGCCTAGTTTATTTTCACAGAACCCTCCTGAAAGTCCTCTGGACAAAGGTAGATACAATCAGCTTTACAAGCCCCACTGAACGCCTGAGAGATTAACAAATACATTGTTTTTGCTGGCAGCTGGCCAGGGGTTTCATGCGAACCAGGACAGAAGACAGCTAGAAGCTAGCAAGTGATGAGAGGCCCATGTTCTGGGACAGCAGCGTTTAATATCCCCTGCCTCTAGGGCCAGATGCCATTGTCCTCTGAGGGGAAGGGGTCCATAGGCCCGTCTGGGATCCCTGTGCACAGGTGTGCGCCTGGTCCACCAGGAGGCCCTGCCTGGGAGCTGGAGGGAGGCATCTCTAATTTGAGCACATACACAGTGCTCGGCACCTAGACGCACCCAATAAATGCCTCTGTATGAAAGAAATAAAACCCCGCTGCTGACAAAGTGCCCATCCCTCCACCCCGGCCCTGGCCTCCTGCTATCCCCGAAGAGCCCCCTGTAAAATAAAGGAACTGCAAGCAGGACCTGAGGAAGTGGGAGCCTGTCATTAGACACAGGCAGTCAGCACCAGGCCCCAGCCTGAGCCCAGACCTTCCAAAAAGCAGCAGCTCCCTGATGCTGCTGCAGGGACAACTGGGCATAGGCTGTAGGCTTCGGCTCACGGCCGTCTCCATTGCCCCTCTGGACCTGGAGATGGTGGGGACAAGGCAACTGCCCTCGGGAAGGGAGACAGCTACATGCCAGGAACGTGGTCTGGGATTCTCACCTCCCCCTCTCCTGCCCCTCTTAAACTAATCTTACCCTCATCTGAACTCTCCCCCAGCCCTGGATTTTGCCTTCCTTATATATGCCACTTTCTAACTTGTATTTATAGGGGTTTTTTGGTGTGTTTAAAAGATGCAGTGGAAAGAGACAAAAGTCTGGGCTCAAATCTCAGCTGGACCATCTGTTGCCTGTGTGGCCTGAGGCAAATGACTTGACTTCTCTGAGCCTCAGTTTCCCATCCTGAACTAGAGTTATAGGCTTACAAGGCTTCATTCTCCCGGGCCTGCCTGCTAGATTCTAAACTGGAGGACAGGATCTCAGGTCTCTGTGTGGCCCTTGTTTTTGTTTGGAGCAAGGCCCTGCATGTGGAAAGACCTCAGTGGATGAGGTGGGACAGATGGATGGATGGATGGATGGATGGATGGATGGATGGATGGATGGATAGATGGAGGATGGATGGACGGGTGAACATACTCAGTTCCATTACAAAGGAAAAGCTGAGAGGACCAGGTTGGCACGTCTCCCGGGTCCTTCACTAGGCAAGCAGCTCCTAGAGGGTGCCCTTTGGCCCATGCTCTGGCTTTCAACCCTGCAGAGAGCCCAGCCATGGAGGCTTTGTCCTCAGGTTGGCCCAGGTCCTTGCCTGAGGCCTGTGGGGAGAGAGAAGGCCGAGCTCCTCGAGCCTACTGTACCATCCCTGAGATTTCAGCTCCATGGTGACAGGACTTAGAGCGGGCTCGTGTGGTACTCACCTCTGGCTCTGAGTGACACGTCGCAGTCTCCTGTTGAGCCTAAACCATGCTGGTCTTCCCCACAACTCCTGCACTTGAACCCACACTCTGTGTCAGAGGCCTCAGCCTGGCCTGGTGACTAAGGAGCACTGTATCTTCCCCAAGTCTACCTGTTAGTTGCTCAAAAGTGTCCATGCTTGTGTATTGAGAGAGGCACCGACACAGCAGGAGGCATGGTAATGGCAGGCCTAGTTTGAGTTGTGGCTCGGTCACTTGGGTATCGTGCCCTCCCCTGTAAAGTGGGACAGGGAATACCCCCTTGCAGGTTGTTATGAGGGTGAGAGAGAAAGTCCGTGAGCTGCTTGAAATGTTGTGGGTACCCCACGTGTGGGAACCATCACCATCACCCTTGTCACTCATAGGGGGCCCCAAGAACAAGGCGCGTCCCACAGCCTAGCTGCATCTCTTCTCTTGCAGGATCTTGGTCAACATGGACAACAACATCATTCAGCACTACAGCAACCATGTCGCCTTCCTGCTGGACATGGGGGAGCTCGACGGCAAGATTCAGATCACCCTGAAGGAGCTGTGAGCTCCCCTTGGGGTGAGCTCCAGGCAAGGAGCCAGCTGAAGTGGCTCCAAGCCGCACACAACCTCTCCTCATGCCTCAGTGCTGTTACTTGAACGCCTTCCCAGAGGGAAGAGGCCCCTGAGTCCCAGACGTCAGGGCCAGGAAGGGACCTGGGAGGTGTCCTGATCTGAACCCCCACCTCATGCTTGAATCTACTCTGCACTCCTGCCAGTGCCTGCTCAGCCAGAGACAGTGTCGTCTTGGTTAGCGTACCCGACAGACTGTGTCTTCCGCGGTCGCTCTGCAGGCTGCCTGTCCGGATGGCGGAGGTGGACCCATGCTCCCCAAGCTGACTTGACCACTGTCCGCTCCCATTCTTGGTTATTCCATCAACTCCAGACCAAGGATTTCTCGCCCTTCGGTCAGTTAACTTGCACACACTTGATTTTCAGTGCAAATGACTTCTAAAGGACACTATGGTGGAAGCACCTCTTTCTCGTGGACTTCCTCCGTGCCTGATGTAAATAAGAGAGCTGATCGGCCAGAACCAAGTGGCTGCTCCGTGAACGACCACCATGCCTGCTCGCTGTTGTACACATTTCCCGGTTACAGTTTTCATTTATGTTATATACATATATATAAGTATATATTGTATATATATGCAACATTTTATATTTTTCATGGATACATTTTTATCATTTCAAAAAATGTGTATTTCACATTTCTTGGACTATTTTTTTAGTTGTTCAATTATGCATTTTGTATACTCATATAGTATTTAGTAATAAAATTCTGCCTATGTATTATTTCAAATGCCACACCTGGTCCTTTTGTGAAAGTCTGCCCGGAAGAGAGGGTGAAGGGGACAAGGCCTCGCTCCTCCTCATCCTGTGAGCCGTTTGCCCTGGACTTGAAGGGCAGCGGTAAGTGCTGGGCGCTGGGAAAGCAGGCGGCCGCACCCGGAGGGCAGCAGAATCCTGACGCCCAGGTCTCTGTCCTGCGTGGGCCCACAGGCTGGATGTTATGACCTTAGGCTCACTGACTGGACATGAAGAAGTCCTGGGAAGGGTCAGGATGACCTTGCTGAGGACCTTGTAGCTGGGGCCAGTGGGCAGAGCCCAGGGCTAGGAGCCATGTGACCTGAGTTCTTGGGCCAACTCTGCCCCTGTGCTCTTAGCTAAAGTCATTTTCCCTGGAGCCGGCTCCTACCAGCCCAATGGTCTGCTAAGGTCCCCCAGGGTCAGAGGGACCTAAACACCAAGGCCCTGGGGTCTGGCCCCATTGTCAAGAGCCTGGGATCAAAGAAAGGTACGGCTCTAAATGTCAGCTTTGAAAGCATCTTTCAGGGTTTCTAGCACCCAAGTAGACAACTGATGGCTTACAGAAGAGTTTCCTTTAGCCCAAACAAAAAACTTTAAATTGAAATATGGCTGTAAACATCTCAAATCAAGAGATTGTCCATTTTAAAGATTTCCCAGATTCTGTTGAAAAATCTGCAGGCCTGGCAACAATTTGCTGGACCGTGTTGGATGCCCCTTTAGACAGGTGGCAGCCTCAGCTCCCAGACCCCCAGACCCCCAGACCCCCATCCCAGCATCACCTCTTTTGCTCCATGCATTGCTCACCCACCCCTGGAAGTCCTTGACCGTGAGCCCCCAAATTCTGGTCCCACTTTTCAATGACCTGCGAGGAGGGGAACACAGGGCTGCCTTTAGCTCCAGACCTCTGCTGCTCCTCACTTAGTGCTCTAGCCACCTCACATGCACCCCAAAGCAATGGGGCACCGGCAGGAATCTGAGGGTCGCATAAAGGCCAGCTTTTGTGAGAAGCAAGAATTCAGTTTAATTGGATGTTATTCCATCCTTCCAACCCCTCCTGAAACGGAGAGCCAATCAGCGGCCAGTTCTGACAGGAAGGCCCAGGATGTAACATTCACAGAGAAGAGTCAAAGGAGGGAGCAAAAGCGAAGTGAGAGGCCTCGTCTGCACTGGGCATCGGAGGGCAGAAGCGTGGGAGAGTTCCACTGACAAAGCGAAAGACAGTGCCGGTATCTGGGGAAGGAGGGAGGTGTGGTTACTTCTGTTTCTTCCTGCTGCTTCGGGAATCGTCTCCTCTGGTCCAGGGGAAATGATTTGACAGGCCGGGAAAGATACATCAACGATTGTGTCAAACTTGAGCAAGAGGTCAGGAAGGAGAAAGGTCGGGTGAAAGAAAGGACCTGCAGGCTCAGGGTGTTACGTGGCTTCCATGCGCCCCAGCACTTCTGTTTCCAGGGCTCTGGCTCCAGCAGAGTCCTGCCCACCCGTGCTGTTGAATACAGGTTGGATGTCGCAGCCTCTCCTCAAAGTGGGTGAGGAGCACAGGTGACCACGGGGACTGGCTGCCACACTCTTCCTGAAGGTGAGATGCAAAGGCTTAGCCAGGGGCAAGGGGCCCAGGCAAGCCCTTCACGTCTCTGTCACAAGCACCTCTGAGCCTTCCCGGCTCCTAGAGCTGCAGGAGAAGTCTGGAAGCCAAGGCCAGAAGGATGCTCTGTCCGCCCTGCAGATGCACTCGGGGCCCAGATCCCTGGTCAGCACAGGGTGCTAGCTGCTAGGCAGGGCATCTGCCCTCGGCCGCCTGCTCCCTGGAGTCCGAGCTTCAGGAGTCCCTTGCGTCGGAGGGGAGCCGTGCAGAAGCCACGCTGGGCAGGTGCGTGACGAGGTAACTGAGGGAGGCTCTGTCTGCTCATTGCTTCTCAGAAACCAAGGGCTCAGTGGGAGTGGGGGCCCAACCTCCGGGAGGCAGCTCGAAATCAAGACAAATGCAGCAGCCCAGCTGTAACGCCAGGCCCAGTGGCAGAGCTGCCCCCTGCCCCCATCATCAGCCCTGGGGAAGCTGGGTGGGGCAGCTGGTGGCCAGGGCTTTCCCGTGCCCGTGCGGTCGCTACAGCACCGGAATCCACTTGTTGTCCTCGTTGTAGAGAAAGGACTGCTTTCCAGGGAATTCCGGCTTGTACGTGGCTGTGAGGGGAGAGGGGGACAGCAGTAAGAGAGCAAAGGCCAGTAGCTAGAGTCCCTTTCCTTTTTTTTTTTTTTAATATATTTTTTTGATTTCAGAGGGAGGAAGGGAGAGGGAGAGAGAGAAAAACATCAATGAGAGAGTCTCGATTGATCGGCTGCCCCCTGCCCACCCCCTGCCAGAGATCTAGCCCACAGCCCAGGCACGTGCCCTGACTGGGAATCGAACCGCGATCTCCTGGATCCTAGGTCCATGCTCAACCACTGAGCCACACCTGGCCAGGCTGGAGTCCCTTTCCTTTTACATCAGAGCTGGCAAGGCCAGGGGGACTCCTGTCTCAGACCCTGCACCATATATGTCGGGCAACAGACAGTGGAAGGGACTGGCCCAAGGTGATTGGCTCTTAACAGGCTGAGGCAAGACTTGAACTCTGGCTTCCTACCTTCTTTAGCTCCTTTTAACTTCAACAGCAGAAAATTAACAAAAGATCTTTCTATGAAATTTGAGGGGGAAAAAAGTTTGAGTAAAGTGATACTCAAAGAAGCAAGGTGTCAGCTTGGTGGGGCTTTGTTTTGATTTAGTTCCAAAATTTCCAGAAAAGCAAAAGCCATGACCCTGCTGTTCTCTACGGAACCAGCAACTGGGACCACAGGGCTTGGGAACCACAGCCGGGGTGACAGGAAACTCTCACACTGATGCCGGTTTGGTTAACGGGGGCCATGTGCAGCCTCTGTCGGTAACTGGAAGCTGCTGAGGGGGGCATGTGGCAGTCCCAGCAGGTCTGCACCCCCTGGAAGCCAAGGAGGCAGGTGTTTGCGTGTGCTCATGCCCAGAGGCCCCTCAGGGGAGCCCACTGGGCACAGATGATCACAGCAGCAGGCACTGGCCTGACCCGTGTGCCAGGTGTCTCACACCATGCACAGCACAGAGAAGACGCTGAGAGAAAGCTCCTAGGTGGACTGGGCCAAACAGGGCCAGGCCAGGGTCTTTGCAGGCCCCTAGGCCCCCTAAGACCACCCACCAGAGCTCAGGACTTACATGGAGCATTAGTGCATCTGCTGAACCAAACTGAGCTCCGCCTGGTCTGACCAGACAACTTTAAGTTCAAACCTCTGCGGTCCTGTTGGCTTGATGGCATTTCCAAGGCCAAAGTTATGGGAATGGCTTTCTCCTTGACCTGCCTTACAGTTTACTCACCTGTGTCTAGAAGGGAAGGTGTCTCCCCCACCAGACTGATACCTCTGGGGGCAAGCACAGGACTTAAGTCACCTTTGCCTCCCCAGGGTGGGAGCACCATCTGTGTTCACTGAAAGACTGAATTTAACTAGGCCTGGCAGCCACCTCAGCTCCACCTTCTTCCTCCCACACCACCTGCCCACGTGCACACCTGTCAGTCCCCCAGGCCACCAGGTCTGGTAAGTAGCTAAGGGGCTACAAATAGGTTGGGGGGTGCAGAGCCCACCCACCAGAGTGAGTCCCTCTTGCTGTTATCCCAGAGGTCACAGGGTATCACTGCTTAAGCTCACCCGTGAAAAGGGAACAGAACAAGGTGGCTTAAAGGAGCTGTTCCAGGGAACAGTCCCTGAGCTGTTCCATGACAAACCAGGCACAGAGGGGGACGGCCTGGGTTCTGCCCCACCCCTCACTCCCTGAGGCCTGTGGACACCTTGCTCTCTAGGCTTCCCCGTCTATGGAGTGACTTGGCCAGACTACGTCTTTAAACATTTTTAAGAACATGGACTCTTTGACAACCTGACAAAAGCTATGGCCCCTTCGCCCAGAAGAGAATGTCTGCAGACAAGGTCAGAGTCGCAGACCCCCAAGAGCCTGCCTCGGAGCCTCTCGATGTTCACGGTCCTTGGTTATGAATCCCTGGCCTGGGTCATCTCTAGGAGCCCTTTCACTTTAAAAAAAAAAATAATAACAAAGAAAACTTTTCATACTCTGAAAGTATAAGCTGAAAAGTCTCCTAAATCCACTCTAACCCCTATAACCTGTTTGGCAAACAGCCTATAAATCAGTGGCATTTGATGGCCCAGGAATGACAAACAATTCCAGATTCAGTTTTTACAATCATTTCAAACAGTCCTCTGACCTGGGCCGGGCAGATCTGGCTGGGTCGGCGCCGCTGTCCACCGTCTGGTGTTGGACACGAACGATGCACTGGAGATTAAATGCTTGGGGGGCCCAGTGTAGTCCACGATCTCGTACTGACCAGGGCCTGGGAGAGGTGGCTTCAGGGGCTGAGACAAAGGCTGAGTAGAGAAGTTCAGAATGGGGTGTCTCCTTTAGAAAAGACAAAATGTGAAGGTATCACTAAAGCAGTCTATCGGGGAAATGGTACTTTTTAGACGTAGCCAAGACCCGCCCAGCACCAAGCCGTCTGCAAGAGGACTGGACATGCACTTGGAGATCCGTTTCCTCCTGTGGCCCCACTGCTAGTGACCTGGGGGCGGGACCTCAGCTTCCTCATCTGCCAACGGTAATCATAATAGTACCTACCTTGCAGGCCTGTTGTCAGGGTTCAATGAGATGGTACGTAAAACACAGACACAGCCCAGCACCAAGTGAGAGCTCAGTTCGCCTTGTTGCAGTGAAGTGACTGAGCTAATCAGGAATGGCAGACAGCACTGATCTCACTGTCACCTCTGCTCAGTTGGTAGTGCCTGGCTGGAGCTCTGTGTAAAGAACTGAGGCTTCCCTGGGCTTTCTCGGAAGAGCATTGGTGATCTACTTGTGATGTCTGCCATGGCCAGGGAAAGAAAACAGGCAACCTGAATTCTGGGGACTTGCTATCCTGAGACTAGTAGGTCCTCTAGAAGCCATCCCAGAATCCTACCACATATCTTCCTGTCAAGGCAGGACGTGGGAGTAGAAAAATACTGGGTTAGAAATTAAAGGACCTCTGAAGCATAACACTCACCACTTCCATTGCAATTGTCTGTTTTCAGGTCTGTCTCCCCCTCCTTCAGAAAAGGGAGTATTTCATGAATGAAAGAGGAACGGAACCTGTACTTAAGCCCTAGCTCAGACACTAATTCACTCTGGGCCTCAGTCTCCCCATCTGGAAAATGAGGCAGGGTGGACATGACCTCTGTGATCCCTTCTAGCTGTGACGTTCCATCAAGCCTTGATTCAGAGAGGCTCCACTGAGTTGCCCAGGGAATTCTGGAATTGTTAAGGGAATCATACTACTTTCCCGGCCATACAATAGAAGGGCTGCCTGCTCCTGCCTCACACTGAAGCTTCTCCTAAGGTCTCTCACCAAAAGAGAAAGTCCTCAGAGCCCTGTACAACCACAGGAGACGCCCAGCTGGAAGCCAACCCACTGGACCAGAGGAGGGAACTGGGATTTTTGGCCACTAAAACTCTGCCGCCCTCTGGACAACACCTTCTGAAACAGAGGTGCTCTTAAACTCAGAGAGCACATGGGCACCTTGCAGAGTCATATCCAACCTCTGTATTTTGCTAAAGAAACTAGTGCCCAGAGAAAACAAGTTGCCCACAGTGCAGAGCACATTAGTGGCAATGTGGGTGCCAGAACCCAAGTCTCAAATGTCTAACAATTAGGGGAAGGCATCAGGGCAGAGGGGAATTGTTGAATCTTCGAGTCACACAGACCTGGGTCTGAATTCTGGTCATGCCACTCACTGGCTGTAAGACCTCAGGCAAGTCCCCTGACCTGTCCACCTGCAGCAAGGTGCAATACTACCCATTATATAAAGGAGTTGATGGAGGAAAGGCATGTAAGGCGCCTGACATAGTGCCAGCACACAGTAAGTGCTTAATAAACGTAGTCATTGTTATTATTATGGTCCCTACTTGGTCTCAGAGGAGCAACCGAGCCTCAGCAAAGGGAGGCAGAGTCACCCAGAGGGTGGACACTCCCACCGTCAAGGGAGGTCGTTGAAAGCCACAGTAAACCTTCCTGAGGCTCAAACCACTGGCTTTGATGATTATATTTAGAACAAAGGTGCCCATAGGAAAAGGGGGGAAACACAGCCTCCTTTTTCCCCTCCAGCTGGCATGGAAGAACTGGTTATATTGTGTGATCAACCACCTCTCCCCTTATAAATAAAAGCTGTCTGCTCCTTGTTCTGGCTTCGGTCACCCCTTCAAAGAACTCCCAGAAATTTGATGAGTGTGTGACTGGCCTCATTGAGAAACAGGCTTGATTCCTGGACATTAGGTCTGAAATGAACCAACCGTTGTATGAGGTCACCACACTGTCTGGGTCATCCCCAAGCCCGATTCTTTGAGATGACCATGAGGTGTCTACTTTCCCATCCAGGCTGCAGGAGGCTAAGCAGGCCAGGTCAGTGTCTCGTCAGCATTCTTGGCGAAAATGGGTGAGAGAGGTCCGTCAACCTCTACTCCGCCCACATGCCCAGGAATGGCCCAGCTCTGCCAGCTCAGCTCCCCAGGTCCTTAGAGAGCATCAGCCACGTGTGCGGCTGTGCAGTGGGCATTCTGGGGAGTCTGGGCTTTTCTGTGCTAAGACACAGACCCCAAATACTCCTGAGGGCTTGGCAGTCCACTGCCAGTGGCAATCATGCTGGTGACAATTGAAGGCAGTAAGGCTTTGCACTCAGACCAATGTCCCCAGTCACTAGCTGTGTGTCCTTAGAAAAGTCTCTCCACCTCCCCATGCCCGTTTCTTCTTCTATAAAATGATGAATAATAATACCTGCCACCCAGGGTTGCTATGAAAATTAGCTAGTGCTTTACTTGCATTATTATTTTGAAAATATGAAATGTGAGACTAGAGATAAAAACTACATTGAGCCCAGACGGTGTGGCTCAGTGGCTGAGCACTGACCCATGATCCAGGAGATCCCGGTTTGATTCCCAGTCAGGGCACATGCCCGGGTTGTGGGCTCGATCCCTGGTAGGGGGCGTGTAGGAGGCAGCTGATCAATGACTCTCTCTCATCATTGATGTTTCTGTCTCTCTCTCTCACTTACTCTCTCTGAAATCAATTTAAAAATTAAAAAATAAATTAAAAAAACCAAAATTGAGAGTGCAGAGAGAGAGACAGAGGCTAATTCCAAAGGAGTGAATTCAGAAATCTACCCCAGGAGAGAGAGGACTTGCCCTGAAAGGTGCCCAGGAACCCTTCGGGTAGAAATGGGGGCATTTCCAGCAGAGGAGAGAGCAGGGCAACCCACGTGACAGGAACTGGGTTGTAAGGCGACAAAGGGTGAGCCACCTTGACTGCTTCAAACCTCAATCCAGCCATGATTTCTGGGTTGTTGGCTTGTTTCTGACCCTGCTGAGAAGCTGAAGGAAAACCTTGTGTTTATGGGCTCTCAGTCCAGCCTAACGCCCCGTGCCACCTTCCGGAAACACCCACCGCACCACACTGTCCGGCAGCTTTGCACCTGTGCCATGCTGTTCCTCCCGCAGGAGCACCTGCTTTCCCCGCAAACGGATTCAGCCTCCGCTTCTCCACCGCAGCAGGGAAAGTGCTCTGGCCACAGCCCCCCCCTCCCGGGGAGCCCGGGTTCTGGAGCCTGAGGGGCCTGGACTCCACTCCCCGCTCCAGCCAGCACCCTGGCGAGTCTGCAGGTCACCTGCGGAGGCTCCGTACAGAACTGCCCCGTAGGACGGGGAGGCATGACACAGATAACGTCGGTGTGGCCGGGCCCGTGCATCCTGGACGTTCTGCCCCCCGAGAACATGCTGCGTGCTCTGTGCTCACCTGCCCGGCTCTTTAGGGGAGGGGGGTATGTCTGGTTCATTCTGAGGCCCCATCCCTATTGCTGCCGGGACATTTGCTGAAAGGCAGAGAAGAGCAGAGGGTTTGAAGCAAGTGGGGGAGCCCAGACATCTGAGTGCCCCCCCAATCCCCTAGATATTTTTATCATGGTCCAGATCTGGGCGGGGCTGGGCAAATGGCAAAGGTCAGGCTGGATCAAACCCAGGGCAGCCCTCGGTGCTTTGTGGCAGGGCTTTTATGAGCCTCATTGCTCGGTTATAAAAGCCAACGCGGTCCTGCCCCGTGGAAAGAAAACATCTATCAAAGGCTCTGCGTTGGCCACAGCTGATTATGTGTGTTTGCGGCTTCCAACGTGAGCTGTTTGCAAGTCGTGGGGAATAATGAATGTGTCGGAGGACTCAGCAGGTCACTGGGGGCCAGGACAGCATCGGAGACCCTCAGGACACTCCCAGGCACAGACTCACTCTGCCTCGGGGGTTCCCAGGGTCTAGAGGACAAAGGGGCAATTTTTTCTCTTCATTAAAGGGCAGCCGATGCCCCGGGGGCGGAACGCGGTGTCTGTCTAACAGGGTAGCAGGTGACAGATTACAGCGTTCGGGAAGCCGCAGCCGTATCTAACTGAAAATCCCAGGGGAACTTTAGGTGGGTCCCTCGTAATTACCTAAATTGAAGCGGGGCAGGCGGGCTTGATTCTTGGGCCCTGGCTGGGACAGGACAGCGTGAGGCTGCGAAGCCAGAGGCTTAGAGCCCCTGGAAGCGGGCCTGGGTCAGGGAGATGTCAGTGGAGCTGCACCTCCTTGCGGGCGAGCAGGAGTTGGAAGGCAGAGCAAGGAGGAACTGTTTTGATCTCCAAAAGCCCATATCCCGACTCACCCTGACTGATGGAGTCATCACTGTGACGAATGCTCAGGCCTGAAGAAGGGAAACTTTGACTGACACTTCTCTGCGCTTCTAAAGCCGCCTGGAAGCTGGTAAATCTGCTTAGCTTCTGAGTCAGCAGAGTGGCCAGAGCAGACACCTGTGCCCTGCTCTCCAACTAAGGAGCCCAGAAAGGGCGCGCTCACCACCTGCCAGCCCCTCGAGCAGCACCCACCCTGCAGGGGCCCCTCAAGAAACACCAGTCAGTGTAAAGGACCGTCTTCAACATATATAAAAGCTTACTGTGCACCGTACTTGGTGAGCTTTGTGGCTTATCTTATTTCATTACTGCAAGCACCTAATGAAGTGTTTGTCCCAATTCACAGAGGATGAATTTGAATTTCCCAGGAATTCAGTGACCCAATGCCCCCAAATTTAAGAGACACTGGGCTTAACAGGTTCCTTTACTGCAGGCCTTCTCAGAGCCTTTAATAAGCCCATGCTCACTGTGATGCTCCTAGGGGCAGAGGGTTTGTAAGCAGTGTTTCCAAGGCTTATTAACCAAGGATCCATTATTCACAACGCATCACAGAGAGCCAGGGAGTCCTGGATACCCCCAGACATGCCAGAAGCAGCCCACTGCCCAGCTGGAGAGACTGCCATAGGCTGCCTCCTGTATCCTAATATGCCTGTAGGATATGGAATAAGAGCTGCTATAATAGTAACAGCTATTTCCAAGCCCTTTCTCATCTAGTCCCTACAGAATCCCAATGAGATCAGGTTCTTATCTCCACCTAAAAATGTGGAAACTGAGGCTCAGGGAGGAGAAGTGTCCTCAAGGGATGGAGTCAGGACTCACACTCAGGTCTGCTAAGCTGCTCTTTTTGCTGGCAGAGTAGGGGAAAGGTGGTATGCAGCAGTGCCCTAAGCCAACCTGGAGGCGGGAAGTCTCTGATGTTTAGAGAGAGCCTGTTCCTGGAGACTGTCCTGCCCTAGTCCTGAGCCCCGGAGCCTGTGAAGGGTCAACGTGCAGAACCCAGAACCAGAGGGCAGAAGCAGCTTACCCTGCGGACTCCACCTGAGGCCTGAACCCCTTGTCTAGATGCTGAGCTGCGTTTGTCACCGTGTCTTGCTCATCTCTCCAACTCCCCTCCCCTTGCCCTGGACCGACGGAGTATGCCCAACATTGCCAGCCTCCCTGGGCTGCCCAGGCTTCTGACCTACTGTGGCTCTGAGCCCAATCGCCTGCTCTGAGATGCCCAGGTGCCGGTATGCTCAGTCCCAGCCCCTCTGGTCAGCCCTCCCAGCCAGTCCTGCCTGGAGACTATAAAGGGGTGAGGTCTTAAGATGGTACTGACCTTAACTGCAGTTAGTTTTATAAGTCCTAGAACCATTTGAGGAATAAATAAGCGCTGTGAGGTTTTTTTTAGCCTCTTAGGTGAAAGTAACATTCAATGTACCTGTCTTCTTTTTTAAAATGTGTGTTAATATTGTCATCATTTGCACCTCCTATACACATGCAAAATCTATATTTTTAAATATGCAAACAACACTGTGAGGTGTAAATTACCCCCACTTTACAGACACGGGGGCACAGAGGCTCCTAGGGGTTAGTACAGTGGCCAAGGTCACGACACAGGAAAACAGCAGAGCTGAAGTTTCAGTCCAGTGGGTCTGACCAACTTCAGGGTCTAGGTCTTTAACTATGAGGGCTCCACTGCTCCTGTATGCCCTGCACCCCAGCGGAGGCTTTATGTTATAAAACAGAATAAAGTCAGCACCAGGAGAGCACGACATCATGGGGGACGTGGGAAGGTCCCCACAATGCTAAGCCTGACTCCCAGCGGCACCTTAAGGCAGCTGTGTGGAACTTAGGCAAATGGCTCAGTCTCACGGAAACCCGGCTTCCTCCTCCAGGAAGAATAATTCTTACAACAGGGTAATTATGATAATTGAGTGAGACGTTAAGTTCCTGGTACACAGTAGTTGCTCAATAAATATTATGCACTTGGTAAGTATTTAGTGAGCACCTATACTATGTGTCAACAAGGGACCTGGCACTGTCCTGACAAGCAGCGACACCCCTTCCTCTTCCGCCCACGTTGGGGTCCTTCCCAGAATCACCTCTCAAAAGAAAGATCGGAATAGCCCGGACTCACGGGATAAGAGTCTTTTTCGGAATTTTGATGTGCTCATTCAGGTTGTAAGAGCCGGGCCCCGGGCCTATTGATGTCAGTTTTAGTCCACGGCCAGTTTTCGACCTAAAACAGGACACTAATATCTTCGGTGACTGCTTCACAAGGGACTCGTTGATATTGTAATACCCTAAACAGAAAAAAAATTTTTAAACAGAGTAAGAAACTCTTCTCAAATACATCAAAAGCCATACCTTACACCTAAGAATATATTTAATGACTGCAAGACAGTATCACTCCAAGACAAATGCAAGGGCTGCCTGATAGCTAAAAACAATACTCACCATCGAGAGAACCCGGGCCCACGCATCAAGTACCTGGCTCGGTTAATGCTCCCGGCATCCCGGCAATATGGGCGTATCGCCTCCATTCTAAATGCGTGGAATCTGAGACTCAGAGACATTGAATAACTGGCCCAAAGTCGTCCATCTAACCAGGGACTAAGCCCGGCTTCCTTCTCTATGCAGGAAGAAGATGAATTCTCCCAACAACAGGGTGGGTATAATAGTTGAATAACATTTTAGGTTCCTGGCACATAGTCGTTGTTTCATAGCTATTTTGCAATCAACAAATATTTATTGAACACCTACTGCGTGGGCCCAGGGCCACCTGTCTCCAAAGCCCATGCTTTCTCACCAGGCCCTGTCTCAGGAAACTGTGTCAGAATAAAACTAATGTGACTGTGCACAAGGCTTCGAGGGAGAACAGAATGATCTGAGCTGGAGAGAAGAGGGAGCAGTCTCACCCCTAACTTGTCGTAGCCCTGTCAATGGGCGCAGGCGGTCTGTAGTACTAGCAGCAGTCTAGGCAAAAGCCTGAGGGTGTCTGCACACCCAGGCTTCCCAGCACTCAGAAACTAAGAAAATGATTCGACATAATGGAAAAACTCTAATCATAAAGATGTACAGCACAGCGGTCACTGCACTGTGGGAGAGAGTAGCCTACATGCCTGCAGCCCCATCTGGTGCGTCAGCCCTGAACATGACAGATATGAGGACCACACGGCCACACGACCGTGTTTCTGAAAAGAAAGTAGAGCAAAGCCTGAAAGTCTCTTTGTACTATGATGACATGTAGCTATGAATGCATATGTCTGGATGAAAACAGGTGGGAGCCCAGGAGAGTGGAAGTAATTACATTAGGGGTCACATTCCGGGTGGGAAAAATATTCCAGATTCCCTAAATATTGTAGAGTGGATTCTGTTTTAAAGAAAACGTACTTTTCCATTGCAAAAGTACTGAAAACAACACTACTACTTGATTAGCAAGATTTTACTTAAATGGTCATGCCCAGTGCTGGCAAGGGCAAGGACAAGGGCAAGGGCAAGGGGAAAGGGCCTTGTAGAAGCAGGAGGACACATTGTCCCTGCACTGAGGGCAATTCGATCAAAAAGAGCAAAAACCTTAGTTTACATACCTTCTGACTTAGCAATTTCACTTTCAGCAATTGATATAAGGAAATGCTCTTGATTGTACACTAAGTTGTGAACTAAACAGGATGTTTGCTGCCATTGCATTTATATTAGTGATCAGTTTAAAACTTTAATTTCCAACAAGGGCATTTGTTCCTTAACTTATGGTACCACCATACAATGGGCTACTATACATCCGTGTAAAAAATGATGTTAGTTTGGCTGGTGTTGGTCAGTGGTTGAGCATCGACCTGGGATCCAGGAGATGGGGGTTCGATTCCCGGTCAGGGCACATGCCCTGGTTTTGGGCTCAATTCCCAGGAGGGGGCTCTAATCATAAAGATGCACAGCAGAGCGGTCACTGCACCGTGAGAAAGAGCAGCCTACATGTCTACAGACCGATCTGTGCAGGAGGCAGCCGATCAATGACTCTCTCATCATTGATGTCTCTCTCTCCCTCTCCCTTCCTCTCTTTGAAATCAATAAAGACATATTTTTTTTAAAATGATGTTCTAGGAGGATTTTTAATAACTTGAAAAGATGTTCTCAATATATGGTTAAGTTAAAAAAAAAAAAGGCAGATGTCCAGTTAGCAGCATTTATAATATTGGTATATATCTATCACCTTTCTGTTTCTTTTTCTCTCTCATTTACTGCTGCCAGAAAAGGTTAAAGCAATGCTTGATTATAAAATGCTGAAAAGCAGAAGAAAAGGGCCTGCATTTTCCCATGGCCCCAAGAATCCAGGGTTACACTGGTTCCTGGGCGTCTGGACTCTGCTTCAGGATGTTGAGCTCACAGGGCGGATTCGATTCTGTACACTCATTTTTCAAGTGACACTTTAACACAGGTCTTTCCCCATGTTCTAATAGCCTTTTTTTTTTTTTTTTTTAAGGAAAAATAGAGGGGGACATTGGTGATGTGGTTGGTACATCTAAACTTTAGAAAATCCAACCAGGCCCAGCCGGGCGTGCCTCAGCAGTTGAGCATCGAACTAGGATCCAGGCAATAGGGGTTCGATTCCCGGTCAGGGCACATGCCCGGGGTGTGGGCTGCAGCCGATCAATGACTCTCTCATCATTGATGTTTCTATCTCTCTCTCTTCCTCTCCTTTCCTCTCTCTGAAATCAATAAAGATATATTTTTTTAAAAAAGAAAAAGAAGAAAATCCAACCAGCAAATGGGTAAAGGTGAGCATTCTGCCCAGCGTTGAAGGCGGGGCAGGCTGGACCCGGCTCCCCGGCTCCCCGGCCCTGAGGTGGGCACACAGCAGCAGGACACAGCAAGGATGCCAATCACCCTCCACAGCAGGTTTTCTACCCCCAAAGGGAAGCAGAAGCCACAGCCTTACTTCCCAGAGGTGAAAGGTCAAAGCAGATTGTTTCTGGAGGAGGGGCAGGTTCCCCGGCTCTGGCCCCTGGCCAGTGGAGGTGGGGGAGGTGTCTGAGGCACCCAGCAGGCATCAAGCCCAATGGGCCTGGATTCAAATCCGATGGGACCCTGGTCTTGTTGCCTGCTTTCTAAGTATCATTTTCACCTGTAAACAAGCTAAAATAATACTATCAGCTCACACCTGAGCATATGATCATGGGCTGGGCAAATGCTCTGTGGGGCTTTGAGAGCACTCGGTAATGAATGGAAAGCCTCTGGCACTCAGTAGGAGTTAACTGAGGCTGGTGGCCCCCTCCCCCTCCTGTTCTCTGTGATATGGGGATTCCCCCCCCCCCAGACCTTCCTGCGGGGAGTGGGCACCTGTGGCTCGCTTAGAGGGTGCCACATCCGGGCCTCACTGGTGCGGCCTCTGGCCAAACCCCAGGGATGCCGGCTTTGTTTTCCTGCATAAACAAACAAGGTGGGGCTTTGCCCAGGATGATGCAAGGCAGGGGAGCTTTAGCCCGGGCTTAGCCTCCTAATTAAGGCTCATTTTGTTATTCAGCCTCAGACTAATCTCAACTTTAATCTGGATTTGCCTAAATCTGACATGCGCTGCAGTTTTACTCACACCCCCTCCTAGAGGCATGATGGCAGAGGCAAACCCTGCTCCTCCTATGGGCTCCGCGGCGGCTACCTAAAGGGTCTTCAGTCCCCTTAGGGAAGGCCTAATGGAATGAGTGCTCCTGCAATATGGCCCTCTCTGGAAACTTTTCTCTAGGACCCCAGGGTAGGGGAGGAGGTCCGAGGGCACAGGAGGGCACATCCCAGCGGGAGGACACTTGCAGGCCAGCCCTGTGTGTTCCTGAATGCTGGCGATTTCAGAAGTCACAACGGAATGGCAAGGCAGCAGTCCCCTCAGTCAGGCACCTCTGGGCTTAGGTCTGCCCTGTGGCGCCTGGCAAGTAACTTCAGCTCTCTGAGCCTCCATTTCCTCACCTGGAACACAGGAGCAGGAGTGCGGACCTGTGAGGACAGATGTGTGTGGACTGCATGGGAAACCCTCAGCAGGGAGCAGGAGCTCAGTAATAGGAGCTATTTTCCATCGTTTGCTGACCGGAGGAGTGGCCTCCAGGCTTAGGGGTAAGGAATACTGCAGCTGAGAGTCAGGACATTGTGTATTGTGTGCCCCCAGCGGCCTGTGGTGGCTCCTGGGCTGTGGGAACGTGCACACTTCTGAGGTGAGAAGTCACTGCCCCTCCAACAGGGCTGCTTTGGGGACATTTCCAAAGCCAGCCACTCTTCCCCAAAGGAGGACAGCTGGCCTTTTCCTCACCCTTCTCTCTATTCAATACCTGCCTCCACTCCCACCTCCCCAAAACCTAAGTCCTTCCAGGGACGCCCGGTGGAGGAATGGGTGCCCTCAGATCAGATCTGGACATGAACACTTACGTCAAGGCCAGTGCAAGGCGCTGCTTACCTGGGGCAGGTCCATTTTCAGTGTTAATGAAAACTCCTCTCTGGGTTTTGGACAGAAACCCGGCTCGGGCACTGACGTTGTTTCTCTGCTCGCAGCAAGAGGTGGAGGCCTAGGGAGAGAAACTCAGCATGCTGTGCCTAGCGCCTTCCCTTTCTTTGTCATTGTGCCTGGACAAGGGTCACATCTGGGTACAAAATCAAATTTAAACTTGTCCTCAGAAAATGAACTGACGTGAGCGGGAAAGGTCACCCAATGGTGCCTTCACTGTCACCCCAGCTGGAGCAGTCTGTGAGCTCGGGACCACCAGCAAGCGTCTGGCACAGAGGACAGTGTCCCAGAGAGACAGCCTGCACCCCAGGCATGTGATCCCGCACAAGTGGTTTCACTTCCCTGAACTTGAGTTTTCTCGCCTGTAAAATGGCTCAGATAATCCCTGATCTACTTGACTGAGTGGGGTTGGGGGCAGGAGGTCAATGGAAATCATCTATAGCGAAGTGTTATTTAAAAAAATCATGTAGCCCGGCCAGGCGTGGCTCAGCGGTTGAGCATCAACCTAGGATCCAGGTGATCGGGGTTCGATTCCCAGTCAGGGCACATGCCCGGTTGCGGGCTTGATCAATGACTCTCATCATTGATGTTTCTATCTCTCTCTCTCCCTCTCCTTTCCTCTCTATGTAATCAATAAAGATATATTTTAAAACAAAATTTTTAAATAAAAAAACCATGTAATGCTGTACATGCAAATTATTTTCATTATTTTTCCTGCATTTTTATTCTTTTCAGATCAGAACACTCGGTCCTACGCATCCCCACCTGATACCTGGCTGCTCAAACGGTCCTGCTATAAACACGGGACTTGGGGCGTAAAGAGGCATCGTGTACTTTAAGATCACAATCACGTTTGTAAGCACTCTCTTGTCTTGATTTTTCTGGACGGACCAAAAATTAAGAATTTTGGTCGATCCACACCATATACATTTGAGAGTGTCCAGTGTGTTGGGAACTCTAAAAATAACAGAGAAGGAAAGAAAGAACCCCAAGATCACTCCCATGTCACACGTGAATCATACATATTTTAAATGCCAGTTTGCAGCCAGCCTCCTGCATTCATTAGATAAAAGATGCATAAACACTGTACATGGGAAGGCTGGGGATATTTACCGAATGAGTGAAAATATTTGCTGGGGTCAGGATGGTTTGATTTTCTGTGATACTCCTTTGTCAGAAAAATGTTTCTCAAGAAATGCAGATGGCATTTTGATTTCGTGTTGACAAAGGTGGAGGAATTTAGCTTTTCCCAGGGTCCTAATGGCGAGGCTGCCTGCCGAGACGGCAAACAAAAAGATCAGATGGAACAGGCTAATTACTGGACACAGGGAGAGGAGCCAGGTTGCCGGAGAGGAAGTAATAACATGGGACCAAGGAAAAGGGTTCGAATGGAGAAGCGGGGATCGTGGTGAGCAAAGGCAAAGAAAGGCCCGGCCAGACCTCGGCGCAGTGTGGCTAACAGGATTATCGCATTTCTGCTCCTCGCAGGTTGACTCAGCCATTGTTCCCCAGGCCTGAGAAAAGCCACCTGTAGACAAAACACTACTGCAGCTTTATTCGTCACCCAGACGGAAAAGCTACTGAAAAGAGGGCATTTCTGTACACGCTGAGTGCGCGTCCCCGGAAGATTTCACCGTCACGCTAGGAAAATAACTCCATGGGCAGGTCAGAAGAGAATGAAGCCGATTAATTGTATTGCATGGGGGGAAAACCCAAGATACAGTTAAGTAGAAAATGCACGTGCACCGTGGACAACGTAATCCTCGTACCGGAGGGAGGGCCCGAGAGAGGAAGAGAGTAGGGAAGAAACTGCACCTGGTGTTTGATGGTGGTTTGCTGTGGGGAGCAGAATTGTAAAAGTCTTCCACTCTCTGGTTGGTGGGTTTCTATAATGCTTGAATATGTCTTATGACAAACTTGTATTATTTTCAGAGCCACATTAAAACAATAATGAACAAAAGCAAGCACCTAAAATTGATCTGTTAGCAGAAGGACAGAGCTCTGGCTTGGGAAACGGTCTTTTCTAGATTAAGAACTGTATGCTGATTACTGGGGAGTTACTCCTTTGACAGCATCAACGTTTATTGCATGCTCGCTGAATACCAGGACCTGTGCTGGGCACTGGAGAGGTGAAGCTGGGTGAAGGAGCACATGGTGGGCGGGAGACAGACATACAGAAACACTACCTCTGAGGAATGGGGAAGACGCAATGACTGAGAATCTTCCGTATTACTTTCCTGGCCTGGGCCTCAACCTCTCTCCTGTTAACATAAACAGCTTCCTAACTGGTTTTCCAAAACCCACTCTTTGCCCACACTGCAGTCCATACAGCTGCTGGAGGGAAAGTCTTTAAAAAGTACATCAGATGACATCACCCCATACCTCCCATCCCCCTCAAGGGCTTCCCAGTACACAGAGAACAAAATTCAAATTCCCTCCCAGAGTCTTCAGAGCCCTGACAGACAGGCCTCTGATCCCCTTTATCCCCTCTCCTTCCAGCCAATGCTGCTTATCTTATTGTAGTTCCCCATGGGCTAAGCTGTTAGCTGTCCCAGGACCTTTGCATATGTTGTTCCCCCAACTCTGGCTCTCCTTCAATCCTTGGGTCTCAGCCTCAGAGCCTTTTCTGACCTCCCAGTGTACAGTACATGTTACTGCCCGCCCTACACATATTCTCTCTTTCTCAGGCTCCACTGTTTTTCTCTCTCAAAGCTGGCCACAGTTGGCCATTACTGTTTGTCTGTTTACCAGTTCTTGTCTTGAGTTCCCCACTGGAATCTCAGCTGTGTCACTGGCAGGACTGGAACACGGTGACTCTGCTCACTCTCCAGCTGTATACCTCAGTCACCTGCCTGTGCTTACTGATGTGCAAATGGTCCCTTCAAGCTGGGCAACTTTGGGCAAGTCCCTTTACCTCTCTGAGCATCAGTTTCCTCTTCTGTAAACTAAGAATAAAATAACCCACTTCATGGATTCTTGTGAATATGCAATAAGATGAATACATAACTCTTAGGCCATGAAAAGTGCTTCATCATCATCACTGGCATTACTGTCAGGCTCTGATTATCTCAGGGAAAGACTATGTAGAGTCGTGCTGTCCAATGCAGCAGCCACTGGCTACATGTAGCTGTCGAGCACTGGAAATGTGGCTGCTCCAGATTAAGATGTGTTGCCATAGGGTGTCATGACATAGGGTGTTATGATATAGACTTATCATAAGTTATATAAATGTCTAACCACTATGCTGTACACCTGAAACAAATATAATACTGTATGTCAACTGTAATTAAAAACAAATGTTTTTTTAAAAGATGTGCTTTGAAAATAAAATATACACTGAATTTGAAAGACTTAGTATAATGGAAAGAATATAAAATATCTAATTAACAATAATTTTATATTGATTAGATATGATATTTTGAATATACTGGGTTAAACAGAATATATTATTATTATTTTTTTAATATATCTTTATTGATTTCAGAGAGAGGAAAGGAGAGGAAGAGAGAGAGATAAAACATCAATGATGAGAGAGCCATTGATCGAGCCCACAACCTGGGCATGTGCCCTGACTGGGAATCGAACCCCAATCGCCTGGATCCTAGGTCGACACTCAACCACTGAGCCAAGCCAGGCCGGGCCCCAGAATATATTATTAAAATTAATTTCCCATTATATTTCTCTTGGACAGTGTTGGCCGAGCAGGCACTTATATTACTTTGAGAACATTATAACAGATCGGATCAAACATAGAAGGTGGGCAGGATCTTTGTAGTCAGAAAAATAAATACTTACAATATTATAAAAGAAAAAGGACATTAAAAATACAGTATCTAAGACCAAAATACTTTGAAATACGGCATAACAGTATTAATAACTTATGTACCATTCATGCCTTATGTATTTCAGAGTGCTTTCGCACCCATTGTCTCATTCGCTTTTTATAATAACCCCGTAGGGCAAGTATCATTAATTCCATTTTACAACTGAGACTCAGGAGATAACTGTCTTCCCCAAAGACAGCTCTATACATCTCCATGGACGGTAAAGTCCTCATGCTAAGCACCCTGCATAGGTTACCTCATTTAATATTTGCATTAATACTATGAACTAGATATGTATGCCCATTTTACAGATGAATGAACTGAGTCCTGAAAGGTTAAGGGACTTGCCCAGAGCCACACAGTTAGAAAGTGGCAGAGCTGAGATTTGAACTTGACTCCATTTCTTAACCATTAATTCTGCCTCCGCGACTACAAAGTGATCATAACTGGCAGAGACTACTCTTAAAAACCCCATTGTCTGATATGGAAAGATAGCAGTTTATTTTGCCTGTAAGAAACTAAAAATTAAATGAATATCTGTCTGCAGATAAAGTGGCAAGTAATAGACTCATTGCTAGAGATAAGAACACTGTCTGGGAAAGCTTACATGATAGGAGGGACTACAGCAAGCATTTTCCAGGGCAGTGGTCTTCCCACTGCTCCACACTGGCCTTGTCACCCATATTTTAATCTAGGTTCTGCAAATTCCCTATAAGAGTCTTGCATGGCCTCATGTGCCCATTGGGTACCCAACAAATGCTAACTAGTTTTAAAGTACTATTTCCCCAAGTGCCCCCTTCCTTTCTTATATTTTAGTAAACCACTCATTCAACATATATTTTGTAAGCATATGCAGTGTTCTTACATTGTATTGGTTTGGTGCAGGAGTTTCGAATTTGAGACCTTTCGCAAAGTTTGGCAACTGGAACATGCTGGAACAGGAATTACTGAAGTCTTTCTTCGAAACAAAGCACGACGGGAGAGTGTATGCATTTGCTGCGGGATATTTAGAAATGAAGGTGTCCAATCGGGCACGCTGCGAAGAGAAACCAGAGGAATCAGCATTGTCACGTCACCTGTGGCTCCAAAGGACAGACGCCAAAGTGACGGTGCCCAACAGCAGGTCTAAGAGCATTTCATAAAAGACAAAGCTCTAGCAGTAACAATAAACTGACCTCAGGCTTTGAGGATTCCCTCTCGGAAAACTCAAGTTCCGACCTGTTTTAACTTCTGTAAACTCAAGTTACTCATCTTATGTTTGGGACTTGGCATCAATAATTTCACCATAAACACATTTTCACCCAATCCTGTTTCAAGCCACTTACACGTGACTCATCATCAGCTGTTGGGGCATTTACATGATGGAAGCTTTAGACTTTCTTCCATCCTAGGCTTTCTTTCTACTCAGAAGGAAACAGCACATCTTATTTGCAAGGTTAAATGATCTGAATAACAAGTTGGCCTCTTATGTCTTCTAGGTACAAGGCTCCATAATTACTGATTTCATAAAACCCTACAGTAATTTTGCTGTTTCAACAGAACCAATTCTGTTTCTTCCAGAAAGCCACAATAAACTACTTTTAGTTCAAAAAACAAACAGAATCAATGTTTGCCAAAGGAAAAGGGTCAAAAGCCACAGAAACGAGGTGATAACATCACTTTACCCTGGGACAGTATGGCAAGTATTAGAGTCTGATAAAACCAGGTATTTCTCATTGTTTTATGGTTAAGAGCTTGGGAACATTGCCCTGGGTTTCCTCAGCTTGAGAAGGGTCAATAACTACCCAGCACAGAAAGGGGGGAGGCTGTGGGAAGGCGCCAGTGCCTCCCCCAAGTCCTCACTCTATATTTGGAGGCAATGCTCTCAACATCTGGTTTATGGGCCACCACAGTGCATGGGTGGATGTGCCGCCAGGAGCAGGAGGGTTCTTGTCCAGAATCTCAGCTGTTCGGAATCTATGCTGGTTTGAGTCCTACCTCTGCCTTCTCCAGACTGTGTGGACTCATTGATATTCCCAGAAGTAAGGCCGCCCCAGCCTTGTACTCACTCTGCCTTTGCATTTGGGGCAATGGCTAACTGAGCGGTTTTCATGGGTCGTTGCGTCTAATCCTCATGGCAGCCCTGGGTAGCAGATATGACAGTTATCCTCACACGCCAGGAAACTGAACTTCCTCAGCTAGTCAAGTGGTGGAACCAACCTTCTCCCCCCGGCAGCCTGCCTCCACGATGTGACGTGGATCAGATTTCCAGTCTGAAGAGGAATGGGTCCAGGACAGGATGAGCGGCTGACAAAGGACTATGGGGGGCTCTAGTTCAAGACGAATACTACCCTGTATCTCCTCTGCCCCGTGGTCTAGGCGCACCTTTGCTCTTTCTTTTGACTTCCATGGAAGAAGGGTGATGAGGTCAAACCTTCCTCGGTGGTGCCATTTGAGCCACTAGACAGAGTGGGCAAACATGTTTTTCTAAAGCACCATTTCCCAATGTGTGTTCCTTGGAGTGCCAGCTCTCTAAGATAAGGTGGTGTTGGTGGTGGCGGCAGTTGGGGGAGAGCTTCAAAGGCAAATTACATTTGAGAAGTCTCATACCATGGTCCCATTGTGAGGATTCATAATATACTTTGGCACAGTAAATGCTCTGAGACCGTCTGCAATAAAGAAACCTGCGTAGGCTTTCTCAAATTTACTGGGTCATAGAACCTTTTTGGCCTAGAAAACCTACTCACATACATTTTGGGGGAAATTGTACTAAAAATCTCCAATCAGAAGCACCGTTTCGTGAAGCATTGTAATAGAATTTGTCTCAGTGTACAGCTGACGTAACACTCACTCACCACCCTCCCTACCCCCTTGGCTTTCTTTTAATTGCCTGGCCTGTGGTCAATCTGGCCACACACTGCATTTATGAACCTCTCTCCAGCACATACTGATTTTTCCAGATCCACTCCTGACACCATGCAAATGTAGAAAGGCCATCAAAGTCTCCTTCCGCCTGCCTCATTTGCCTCCCTTGTCTGTCCTGTGAATAATTGGGGAACAAAGACTCGGGATGCATTAATGAAGCTTATATAATTTGGACTTAGAGAGATGACAGGTCCTCTCAAAAGGTTGGGTGTAGCTGTTTCAATAGTCATCAGGAAGTTTCTCAAGTTTATAGACCCACAGAGTTTTTTGGTCAGCCTTGCCCACAGTCACCCTCCTCCTGGTCACGCCAGTGTAAGGCACGGTTGTCTATGATGAGGGCTACTTTTAACTCCCTCGGCGTCTTCAGATCCAGAAGTGGAGGAGGTGCTAAAAGTGAAAGTCACTAACAGAGGGTGTAAGGATGAAATTCACATCCAGCTCAGAAAGGAACCAAGTAAGATGTGGGGAACCTCCTGACAGATCTCCATCAACCACTTAGGCCCCTGCCCAAGGATATAGAAACTTAAGTGCTTATAAGCACAAATATAAATTCTCACATCCATCAAGGAGGGGAGAGGAAGCCTGAACAACTCATTGTCTGTCTTGTTTTGGGCTTGGCCTGAAATTTTTAAAGACCCAAGAGGCCTGATTTGATTCTGTAATACTCAGGTCTTCACTTGGGCCCAGTCCCCTCTGGACAGCGCAGGCTCGTCCTGGGGGAAGTTACTGCACGTAGAGCCTGGCAGGGAATCGACTGCGTGGTGTGCTCTGATTCAGCCCCTTCTTTGGCACCAAGTAGAAATGGGCAGTGCCACTATTTGGAAAAAAGTTCACGGAGACAAAACCTAGGTGTTGCAGGAAGGGTTGTTTGTGACTCAGGTGGTAACAATCATAACATTTAGCATGTTTACAAGGCTCTGCAGTTTCAAAGCGTTTTTCACTCATTGCAGGGTTAACATGCTCAGGGCCTCCAGGGAGTCTCCACTTCATGAGGCAACTGGAACACAGGAGGGTAATGTGCTTGAGGTCACATCGGGAATCCACAGCTGAGTCAGGATTAGGTCTTAAGTCTTGTCACCTGTGCCAGGACATTGTAAGACAAGGCGCTTCTTTCGCTGATTGTCTTTGAGTCTACTCCCAGGGCTTGGGGCAGAAAACAAGGTAGAGGTGCGGTTGCTCGGTGAATTCACGGGGGCATGTGCAACCTCAGCTTCTTTGCTACTGGGGAGACGGCTCCAGAGTCAGTTCTCTCCTTGAGGATACAACTCTGCCAAACCCGAATTCCAATAAGCGGCCGCATTCAGTGTGCCTTAAATGGTTTCTTTGTGTGATGTTTTTTCAAAAAAACAGAAATCAATTCCAATGTTAGGCATCATAATACATTTTTGCAAGAGATTATTACAACTTTTAAAGGGACAGATGGCATATGTGTTTTGTTAATGCTGGAGTTTGGGTTTGCTTTCTGTTTTACTTTTTTGTACCTCAGCCAGTCTTACCCTAGTTTGACCCTTTGCCCTTGCTAAAACTATTTTTTTCTTGTCAATTTATAAATATTCAAATAAAAACTGTCTTCACCCAAGCCTGGTTAGGGACATTGACACTTCAGATACAGGGAGTCCCCCCAAAAATGTGTACACACTTTGAGTAATTATTAATTCCAATGGGTTAAATCTGAAAAGAAAGCAGCAGGAGTTGAGCTATCAGCTGTTAAAGTGTGTACACATTTTGGGGGGACACCCTGTGTACTTGACTGTCAGAGCCCTCCACAAAGATAAAGAGCCACATCTTACAAAGAAGAGAAAGAGGGAGATCGCTAAATTCCAGGCCTGCTGCCTGCTCTCTTTTGATCCCATCAGATTTCTCAATAATTTGAAGAACCCAATCAGACCCTAAGCAGTGTAAAACAGCATATTGGGGAGAGATGTCTAATAATAACTTTTTCCTGGCATGCCTAAAACTCTCAGGAAGACATTTGCTTAGTCTACTCCATGATGACAAAATTGGTTTGGGGTGACCAGGTTCTGAATATTCCTCCAGCTTCTCCTTCCACTTTGGGAACGTGTAGCGACGGGGGGGAAAGGTTAAAGGCACAGGCTCCAATTTACCTGCATGAACTTTGAGGAGACGGTTTCTCTCCTAATTAGAACCACGGACCTTTGGAGAGAAGGGACCAGATGTCCAATATGTGATTATGCAACGAAGGGAGGAAATGGCTGGTCAGTTAGCGCCCCACTCAAGAGAAGGGGTTCTCACCGTGGAGGGAAAAGCACACGTCCCTTTCTTAGATAACGAGACACTGTTGGACACTGGAGACTGGTGAATGACGTTGTAGAACCCAGGGCCTGGGATGTCATCCTGCAAGGGAAGAGCACCTGGCGTTATCAGGATACATTCAGTCCCACTGAGCTTTTCCACCAGCTTCACATCCATTAACGCTAAGCCTCACCATGATCCGCCGGGGCAGGTGCCACCGCCACTTCCCGGATGTCTGTGTGGCTCTGCCATCTCCTAACTTGCCCAGTCGGTCAGCGAGTGGGGGGCTAGAACCCCGACGCGGGCCTGGGACCCCCAAAGCCCTTGCTCTCCCTGCTCACTCTGTGCCGTTCCGCACTCCGGAAGAATGCTGCTGTTTGTCACGCCATTGGAGAAATGGGCATAAAATGGGAAATTAAGTGTGGCTGATATTCAGGCCAGTGCACATCGGTTGGGTAAGCCAAGCCCACGGGGAGGGCAGGGTGACCGATTTCAAGTTCACCACACCCCACCTGACTCAGCTTCTTCCTCAGCCTTTCAGGGGAGAAATCCGGGAGTGTTTCTGTTTATAAAGCAAAATGAAACAAAAACAACCTTCATCCCAAATGGGACCGTTTCTAAAACGAGGCGGGCGCACGGGGCTCAGGGGCTAGACGATGCAGGTGTGTTAGAGTAAACAAAAGTTTGACTCTGCTGCAGCCGCTAATTGGACTTTCGTCTCCTTTCCCATGCTAGTTACCAGGGGAGGTAAATGTTGACAGAAGTTGGCCAAGCAAGAAGCATGAAATGATAAGGATGCACCTCTGTCTCTGTTTACTGGGTGCCTTCTTGGTGCCAGGAGCTTTGCCAGTGCGGAAGGGATCACTGCCCTCATTGAAGAGAGACAGAGGCATGCAGAGGATAATTTCCTACGGCCCCGATGCCCTGAGAGGCAGCACCTGAATTCAGCACAGAGAGCATGGTGTACACAAGTCCATTTTAAGGAAAGTGAGGCCAGAGACACTGGGTCCACAGCTATTAAGTGACGAGTCCAGAGCTTGCTCTCTCCAACCTCTGCCACCCAGGCTCACCCTGTCTCCACCATCTCTACTACCTTCCTTGGGGCAGAAAGCTTAAGGTGTCATCAGGGCCAGTGAGGACTTTCCATTCTGGCCCAAGAAGTGCGTGATTATGGTTTAATATAACAGACAGGTCATCAGTGCTATTAACAGGCTCTTCTGTGCTGGATTTTAAACACAGGAAATCCTTTGAGCCTTACGGGGGGCGGGGGGGCAGGGGAGCCGATTCCTGCTTTGTAGATGAGGGTGATCTCTGGTGGACAGGGAGGAGCTGACTGCCAGGGGGAGTGAGGCCGGCCATGAAAGGTGCAGCCCAACCAGCTGCACAAGCACCACAGGCCAAGGGCAGGAGAACCCTGGCATGTGGGTTGCAGATTCGAGGCGCTGCAGGGAAATAGGGAAGAGTTTTTTCTAGGGGGTGTACACAGGCCCAGCATTTATTTATTGAGTGGTTACTGTGTTCTGAGTACTTTACATGCACAAACTCATTTAATCCCCATTTGAAAGATGAGAAGACAGGGCCCAGGTCACAGAGCCAGTAACTGTCAGAGCCAGAATTTGAACCCAGGCAGTGTGAGTATAGAGTCTACTTTTCACCAGTAAATGTGTAAGATAAAAGAAAAAAGTTCCACTGGGTTATGAATCAGGAATTGTTGTTGTCAATGCTGCTACTAGTTAGGTGACCTTGAGCCAGGTAGCTCTCTAGACCTAAATTTCCTCATTTGTAAATCAAAGATGTTAGACTAAATGTCTTTGGGTGCCTTTTAGCTTTCAGTCTCTAAACCAAGGGAAAGCTCAAATAGGAAATGCAACTGTGACTCTTCTAGGTTTAAAGAGTGACTAGCAGTCCAGCCAGTGTGGCTCAGCAGTTGAGCATCAACCTATGATCCAGGAGATCGCAATTCGATTCCTTGTCGGGGCTCATGCCTGGGTTTCGGGCTTGATCCCCAGTGGGGGGCGTGCAGGAGGCAGCCGATCAATGACTCTCTCATCATTGATGTTTATCTCTCTCTCTCCCCCTCTCCCTACCTCTCTCTGAAATCCATTAAGATAATATTAAAAATATACATAAATTAATTAAATTAAATTTTAAAAGAGTGACTAGCGAAGATGCACATTTCTACCCAGCCTATTGTCACACTCTCAACATGGCCATCAGCTCGCATGAATTTCCTGGGCACCTGTATGTGTCTGAGGAGCTGAGGTTGCCAGATAAAATACAAGACCTGCAAGGCTGCCCAATTAAATCTGAATTTCAGATAAACAACCAAAAGCTATTTCAGTGTAAGTATGCCCCATGCACTAGTTGAGACATAATTATATTAAAATAGTTTTTATTTATCTGAAATTCTAAAATTAACTAGGAATCCTATACTTTTATTTGCTAAATCTGGCAACCCTACTGGACCTTAATCACATTTTAATTCTGCCATGTCGCAAACTGGTTTGAGTCCAGGCCAAATAAGAAGAGGAGTGTCCCTCATAGCCTGGAAGGGAAAGTGTGGCCTGTTTGCTCTTAATGAATGTCCAAGATGAGTCCTCCAGGCAGCAAGTATGCTGGCACTGGCCAGTGGCAGCCTGTGAGGGCGACTGTTAACAATTCAGGAATGAGAGTGTTTACACCAAAGAAATCAGCAAATGCTACATACATTAGAGCTTTTCTTGGTGGAGGGGAGAGCTGGTTTACCAGCACACCCCTTGCTACCTTCAGGTGACACCCATGTAGGCGTCTAAGCTACTCGAAGGGAAATCTCCAGCTGCAGAGAATTAAAGCCCTCTCCTGTAACTGCAAGAGGTGGTGGGTGGCTCTCTGGCAGGTCAATAAAAATGCAGACCTTTCACCTCGGGGATATCAGTTCATGCAACTAACGTTGCGTGACTTGGACGAGTTGAGGTATCTCAGAACACAACCTGCAAAGCAAGAGTTCAACTTGCCACTGGTGTGAGCTTAGCCGCCCCTGAGTTTCTTGGCCACGACTACCCCCGAGGGGAAAAAAAACAAATAAGCAAATAAAAGTGGGTGTGGGGAGAGAAGGGATGAGCTCTGCTGCCTGCCTGTTGAGCGTTCTGCTGAAAGCCCAGCACCAGGTGTTATTCTTGTTGTCTGCTGGGCCTGCCCCCCAGGGTGCCCATTGAACGAGTCGGTGTGTGTAGAGAGGTTACAGCAGTGCCTGTGTGTGTAGCCACTGTCATCATCATCACTACTCTGTGCATTGCCCACAACAGTCTCAATGGAGCCAGGACCTCCCCTTAAGCTTTACAGACCTTCAGAGTGGCACTGAGCAAGAAGGGATGCTGGGCTGATGTGCTCCCGTCCCCCACCAAATACACATCTGGCTGACGTTTGATTGAAATGTGATTTGAGGGCTCATTGGAAGGATTAAAGTCCCAAACAGGCAGCCTCTGCATGTGCCAAGGGTGGGACACAGACCTACATTCACTTGACCTTGGGACAGGTTTAGAGAGGGAGGAGAGGAGGGGAAGAGAGGGGGCAGGGCACTTAGCTCCTCGCCACAGAGATCTCCAGAAGTTAGGATAGGGCTTAATGTCCCACAGCCTGGAGCCCGGGACACCTGCACACAGCCTGGATTTTCTAGTCCTGATTTCATAGATTCTGTCCAATTAATACTTTCAGGCTTGTCAAATCCACGTTTGTCCAACTGTTTCTTGGCTGGGAAAATGTGGTCTCTGTTGGATCGCTGGCTAAAGACCACGCTAGAGCTGCTTTTTGACTCGTCAAAGAGGTTCACCTTGCTTTGCTGCTTCTCAGGATTGAACAAGATGAATGAAAACCAGGAGTTTGCTAACGGCAAGCGGTACATAACAGGAAGAGGGCATGCCCGAGGTGGAAACAGAGCCCTGTCCTATGGCCAATCCATTGGCAAAACCACACATGAATCTGGGGTCCCTGGGGGAGCAATTTCCCTTCACAAATGCCTCTAGTCTTAGGGTCTCGAACAATATGTCCAGCCACTGAAGCCCCTCCAGTTCACACTCTCTACAACTCTGAGAACTGCCCCTTATAAGATGCCTTTCCTCCTTTCTCTCCAGCCACCCCCCTTCCTGCCCTCCCCCCCTTACACTTAGGCGTAGCATCAAAGTTGTCACACCTTTGATCTCAGGAGAAAAGGGAGAGGCATTGAGAGAGTGCAAGCACTCCAAACAATATCACTTTTTTGTTCAGAATGGGGGAGGTTGTCAGAAACGAAATGTCCCTGGGAGCCTGAAGGGGAGCACCCAGGAAAACTAGGGTGACTTTCCCTGAAGAGAGTGTTTCTTAGTCACCCAGGTGAAGAGTAAGTGTGGGGAAAGGAAGGGCAGCTGGGATAACTGGCCACCCCAGCAGATGGAAACGGGGCCCAGGTGTCTGCCCATTGCTGGTCTGGCCAAGTTGGAAACACAGTCAGACAGGAGAAGTTAAGGCACATTTTCATGGTCTGTGTTAAATCGGCCATCTCTACGAGTGTCATGCTCCTCTTTTCCAGAGCCCTTCACTTCCTTAAATCTGGTCTCAGCCTACCAGCAGTTCCCTGAAATCCCAAGTGGGATACGGACAAAAGTTCAATTCCACAGACTTATATTGAAACCTGCTGTGGGCCAGGGCCTGAGATAAGGTTCGAGGTCACAGGCACAACCAGCACGCAGCTCAGCAGTCCCGGGAGTGGGACAAAGGAGACACAGCCAAACACTGCAGCTTGGATGGGATGTGTCCCTGTGACTGAATGAGATATGCAGAGACTAGAATGCAGGTCATTCATTCAGTCCACTTTTGAGGGGCTTTGGGAAAGAACAGCCATTGTTGCTCTCCAAGGAGCTCCCAGGCAGGCAGAGATAAGATGTGCACACCCATCACCATCAGGCCCAGCAGAGGGAGGTCAGGGACATTAGACTGGCCCTGGGAGTGCAGAGGTGGGTGTGCTTGCCTGTACCCAGAGGAGACGCAGGGATACAGTGTCTGGAAACCAGGAGCTGCTGCCTGGGTGCTTCCTCACTCTGCCTGACCCTGGCTGCACAAGTTACTTCACCCTCTCTTTGTGTCTCGGGGTCATTATCTGAAGAGTAGGAATAATGATGGGACTTAGCTCACAGGCGATTATGGGAATTAAGTGAATTAATGGATGCAAAGATCTTCCAGGGGTGCCTGGCATGCTGGCAGTGCCAGCCAGTGCCTGCAATTTCCAGGAATGCGTCCTGCAGACCCTTGGGAAGGGTGCTAGTGACTGACATGGAGAAGTCAGGCTCCTAGACCAGGAAGGTCAGGCAGACCCTGCTGTGTGGTCCAGACAAGCAACTGAGCGCACATTTGGGATAATTTCCCTTTGTACATGGTCTGTGCCAACTGAGCTTCTTTTCACTGAAATATCCCTGACATGTAAAATCCCCCTGGTCCAGTGCCTTCTCAAGTTAGTAAGTGAACAGTGTTAACTTTGTACAGTTTCACCACAAATTAAACACTGGCCTGCTTACCATTGAGAGGGTAGATTTACTGTCAGGCTATGTATGAAATTAACATGTAGTGTTAAACTGTGCCCATCCAGAGGATATGGTGCCCATGCCCTACCACTGTTCATTTATTTGAGCCTGGAGGGGTCAATCAGGTTTAGAAACATAGAGCAGTAATCCCTGGAAAGGGCCTATGCATTTTTACAACCTTATTTTTAAGATGAGGAAACGGGGATACAAAGGCATCAAGTGGGTGTCCTTCATGTTACACCGCTTGGGAAACAGTAACCACAGTGCAGGGTAAAACTGGGACAGAAGAGGGGAGGTGGGGGAAGAAAGTGCCCATTGGGCTACTGGGCTACGCTCTGTCTCAGACCAGGCATGTCTCTTCATGTGTGAGAGTCACCAGAACATCTGTAAACAACTGTAAAATGTTCGGGGAAGCAGACTTCATTTCTAGCAGCCAGAACTGCCCGTCCAGAGATGGAGCTCCGTGAAGGATTCCTCGTACCCAGCAGTCAGATTCTTATGAGGGATGGGAGCTGGGCAGCGAGGCCTTGGCGTTTCCTACAAAGTTACGCTGATAAGGTAAGTGCACGTTTCAAAGGGCCCCAGTGTCAGATGTGCTAAGTGGGTCACAGAATTAATTTGAGGCCACATCCAAGTTATGAGATCAGGCTTAGGGTGTGTGCGAGTAGTGTTTGAAGAAGGGTGGTGAGACACTGAGTTTTCAAATCTGTTTTTAATTCCTGTTGCCTCACTAAATTACTGGGTGATGCTACACGAGATCCTTAACTTCTCAATGCCCATTTCCCTCAGGAAAAATTTGAACAATGAGCATGGAACAAGACCTTTTTTCTTTCCTGTTTTTATAGCTTGAAGAACCTAATAAAATTATAGAACCCAAATTTTATGTTTCCGATGAGAAAACTGAAGCCCAGAAAAGTCCAGTGACTAAAGGCACACAAGCCAGTAACAGAGCAGGACATAGGAAACCTGGTTTAGGGAGTCCTTGCCCTTCCCACAAAATTCCATACTTATTTACCAAATGCTTTCAAACACTTAGGTGAAAGTTTTCACATTGTCAGACCAATGCAGCCACATTTGAAAAGTACGAATCGAATTTCGGAGCTATTTCTCTCTATATTTGATATTGCCTATAGCTTTGGCTGGCTGTCACCTTGGTTCCTTCAGCAGAAAATTTTCTGAAAGCCAAGAGTAATTTAAGATGCTGACTTTAAAAGCCAGCCCACTCCATTTCTGTCTTTGTCTTCAGCACTAGGTCACGCAGAATGGAGCCTTGCCCGCATTACTTGGCGTCTTCCTCTATCTTGAGCTTAGTCTGTTTTGCTAAGTCCTTTACAGAAACATACTCTCTGACTTTCATAGATCAAATTTATGGCTTTGCAGGCCACAAAGGGAGGTATGGTGCAGTGTGTGGAAAGAGCATGAGGCTGAGGAATGAGCTAGACCTAGGTTTGAGGTCTAATTCTTTCAACATTGATTCAGCAAATATTTACGTAGGGCCTCTTATGTGCCAAACCCTGCATTGTGTGACCTTGGGCGGGTCATTGAACTTCTCTAAGCCTCGGTTTCCTCTTCTGGTAAAATAATAAACCCTTCCCTTTAGCATTGTTCTGAGGATTAGAGATGTGGTCTAAAAATGATTTCACCCATAGTAGGGATCAGTGAATGGAGGCTGCTATTATTTTTATTGGAGGCTGGACTGCAAATATCCTACAGATGGGTAATATATTATCACTAAGTTTACAAATGGGAAACCAGACAAAAAAGAGACAGATGGACAGGTAAAACAGAGAAACTAGAGAGAGACGAGAGAAAGCTCCTAAGCAAATATTTTATTTATCATCTTTGGGGAAAACCTCCAAGAAATTAAATGTGTGTGTGTGTGTGTGTGTGTGTGTGTGTGTGAGAGTGTGTGTGTCTCACACACACTATATTCTTTATTATTTGCTTTCTTAGAATCCTAAAATACCAGAAGTGGAAGGAACCTAAATGTTCTCTAGTTCAGCATTCTTGTTTACAAAGAAGGAACAGACAAGGGGCAAAGGAGCTGGCCAGGGCCCCTCGGCTCCTTCCTGACCCACGTGCATGCATCTGGGACCTGGATCTCATTCCCGCTCCACCGTCTTGGCAAGGTGGTAAAATGAAAAGCATTTTTAGAATGCAGCAAAAGGTAACCGAGATGATGATTACTCCAAAAGAATGTTATTCTAAAAGTCTCAGTTAAACGAATGAAGGAATAAAGATTTTAAAAGACACACAAAACGTTTGCGAGTTGTTTGCGCCCCCTGCTGGTGAGAGAGGAGAAGGTGAGGCCCCTGAGCCTTGAGCAGTTGAAATCCCCAGGGAGGTGAGGAGCCTTCAGGAGCCAAGCAGAACCTTTCCAGATCAAAGAGGAAAAGAGACACAGATAGTTGGGGGAGATAGTGAGAATGGAGAACATACAGGAACAGTAATAACACATTGTTAAAAGAAGTCTAAAAAGGAGGGGGCCCTCATCACAAAGGTCATTCAAAATTTATTGGACTCTTAATTTCCCTTTTATGTTATTTGAAGAAAGCCTTGTTATTTCTTTTCATGTTATAAGGAGTGAGGCTAGGGGAGAAAGAGGAAAAGATTTTTACCTTTTACTTATATCCCTGGGAGTTTTTTAATGTTCTATTTCTATAATAATTTTAAAAATACGTTTCTTATAAAAAAATTTTTTTGATTCAGTGTAGCACCATCTGGACATGCTGTTTTCCCCTTGATTTAATAACTTTCTAGCTCACTCTTTCTTTTAAAAAAAGCTCTTAAATTTTTTTACTTACAATATTATTTTGCATTGGTTTCAGGTGTACAGCATAGTGGTTAGACAATCATATACTTTACAAAGTGCCCCCCCGCCCTGGGTATTCCCATAGCCCACCTGGCACCGTACATAATTATCGCAATGTTATTGACTATATTCCCTATGCTGAACTTTACATCCCTGGGACTATTTTGTAACCGCCAATTGTACTTCTTAACCCCTTCATCACCTCTTTCACCCAGTCCCCCAACCCCCTGCCCTGTGGTCACCACCAGTTGGCTGTCTCTGTCTATAAGACTATTTCAGGTCATTTTTACAATCCAGAGCACAGTTGGAGAGGCTGCTGTGGCTCCTTGGATAACACTGCCCTCTACTGGCTGCTTGGTTAACACCGCCCTCTACTGGTCACAGGGACAGACGCACCAGCCAGACTTACCTGCCTGTCCATGAGGCTAAAAATCCAGAAAAAAAAGTAAAGCATCTCTAAGACAATGTCGTTACCTTTTTATGATAAAATCTCTTGGCTTGACTGTTAAATCCTTTTTTTTCTGATTCTGAAAATTTCGCAGACTGATATTTATAAGGAATGCTGGATTGTGTTGGATATGCAGCGGTAAAACCTAAACAACAAAAATAAAACAAAATGTAGCACCGAACAAAGAACTAGCAAATGCAGAAAACACAGAGCTGTATAGTAACATTTCATCTGAAATGGAATAGGAGAGAACCTTGCCTTTTGACAAGAGATAAACACAAAGCTGGATTTTTAAAAAACTATTCCCCGCTTTATTTTCTTTCCCTCTTGGTGATTTATTGGGATTTCCCCCTCTAGCTCTAAAAACTAGTGAGACTTGGTAACACAATGGAACTGAACTGTCCCAGGGAAGGGGGAGGATCTGACAGGGAAGGTGGACACAAAGCCAACTGGACACAAAACCATCACTCATCTACAGCCCAGAGTCACACATCAGCAAAGCGCCATAAAGATCCAGAGAGGCAGGGAAATCCCAGAGTGGGGCTTTCACTTTTCAGGGAAAATCATCATTTATAGGAAATCAAGTTAAATTTTTATACATCTGAGTTGTGATGTATAAATGATATATGAAATCTCCCTTTTCCCTCCTTCCACACCCCGCATGTGGGAGAATGGCAACAGTATTGATTCCTCAGGCAGCATCTGTCTGCACACCCGCTGATTACAGCCCCTGGATGTGTGTGTGGCATCATCAGTCTTGGCATCCAAGCCAAATTTGGTGGGGACGGGGGTCCATTCTGACTGCCACATGTCCACTGCAGTGAGCCAAGTGTTATCTCAATAGCGGTGTCCTCACCCACAGAGGGAAAATGTGTGCCATAGTGGAAAAGCACAACCAAGAGAAGGAAGAAGGGATGTGTTAGGGAGGGGGCGAGGCTAACACATGACAACTGTCTTTAAGGCCCATTTCTTAGTCTCCAAATTTTTGAGAAAAAAACCCTGTTTTTCAGAGAGGAAAGCCCAATTGCCAACAGGGGCCCCTTCAAGAGGTACTATTACCAACAAGCTTTACAGACGGGGAAACTGAGGCTTAGGATTAGGTTGCTCATGTAAATCTCACAGCAACACTTAATAGTGCAACATCTGAGGTTCAAACACAGTTTGTCTGATGAGCTCAGGCTCTTAAACTCTAAGCTGTGCTCCCTCTTCCTCAGCCTGGCTCATAAAGACTCAATAAACAAATGAATGAAATGATGGGGAGGGGGGCATTCTAGCCGAATTTTCCTGGGTTGATTTTGCCGATGGCAGATTTCTTCTTTTCCTACCATCTCCCCTCCCTCCCCATTTAAATAGGTAGATGGTTATGCATTTTTTCTTTAAGGGAGCTAGGCAGCAAATCAGAAAACAGTAGATGCAAGGCTTCCTAGCTTTGTTTCTAAAAGCCCAAGTCAGTAGAATAAGAGTTTGCAGAGAAGGCAGTAAAGAAAGGGGGGTTATTTTTTTTTAAAGGGGAGGACATTCCCCTGAAGGAAGGAAAGGTTTGTCCTTGACTAAAAAGGAGATGAAACACTTTGGCTTCTGGCTGTGGTGGAATGGCATGTATCAAAGCAACACTCTATGCGAACCACCTAAAAATGGGATTTTTATAAAGCACTCTGGATAACACCTTAAACTTCCAACCAAAATGGGCCTGGATTTGCCCTCCTAACTGAAAAAAAAAAAAAAAAAAAAAAAAAAAAAAAAAAAAAAAAAAAAAAAAAAAAAAAA